ACAGTTGTACTGCATTGTGAAGAATCATTCTCTTTCTTATTAAATAATTCACATTCGTTAACATTAGCTGCTATAACATGTGGGTTATCGTTAGAATCAATATGCAACATGGTATTATGACGGCGTTTGCACCGCTGGCAACCCCCAAACGTGCACTCGCGATCTGCGTGAGAACGTAAACAGTTTAAACAGACCTTTAATCGTTTTGATTCACGTAATCTATCATGACTTGATAATTTACGAAATGACGGACAAGCGTATAACCAATGTTGATTTTTACATAATGGACATTGTTTGTTTCTTGTTGATTGTGCGGTTAAAGCTATAGATTTTTTATGAGATTTTATGTCAGGCAGTGAATTGTCCCATGGTTTATTTGGTGATATTAAAGTCTCTAGGATTGAACAACGTTAACAACGTTTATCCATGAACTCAGTCATAGTTGGTAGCTTCGTAAATTCGCGTTTAAACTCCCATTCTCGTTTTGTTTTAGTATCAAGCTTCGGCGTGATTAAATGGATTAATAACGTATCCCATGCTTGCACGGGTTGTTCAAGTTTTGTTAATGCACACAAGTGTTGTACATCGTCGATTAATTTTCGAAGACTGCCGGCTGACTCTTTCGAGATTATTGGTAATTCAAGTAACGCTTGTATGTGATGATGCACTATTAATCGCGTATTTTCAAATCGTGCTTTTAACAATTTCCATGCTGCGTCGTAGTTTTCATTGGAAAGGCTTAACGATTTAAAACATTGTGCTGCACGACCTTTCACTGCCGACTGTAAATAGTAAAACTTTTGAATTTTTGTTAAATTCGTGTTAGTGTCAATAATAGCTTCAAATGTATCACGAAATGTAACCCATTGATCGTATTCACCGTTAAACGTTGGAAGATCTATATTAGGTAATTTCAATAACGAATTCGTCTGTGCCGTAATATCTGCTGCCAGCGGTGCTGCTGCCAGCGGTGCCGTTGAATGTGTTGCTTGTTGACCTACGGAATTAGCTTGTCTTTCTAGAGCAATAATTGTGTAATACGAATCTTCGAATTTTGTACGCTCATCGACATCTATCTCTTTCGTCATCATTTCGATTTGGGATTGAATATCCTCATATTCAGTCAATAGATTTTCTGCGCGTTCTAATCTTATCGATAACTCCTTACATTTTGTCGGTTCGTTCTCAAGTTTCTTTAAAAATGACTGAAATGAAGTAAGTTTCGCCTTTATTGTCGTCCGCTTTCGTATTAACTCGTCTTGAGACATTATGAAAATCGTAATCGCACTTAAGATGTAATGTGATACTTATCTACGTTGTAGACGCATACAGGTTAGCCTCTTACACAGATTGAAGTACAGCAGTTGACTTCCGCAAATGTTACTTAATTAATGTATAATCAATAAGACTAGCTCACCGATTGTTGTCGCCACGCTTACAATATTTTAACAAAGAGCACTGCGCCACGTGGTTTCCCGCTTTCGTATGCCGAAAGATCCGGCTCGAAGGACCAAATGTTACCTATTTTTCGTGTGAAGGAAACTCGTGAGATAAAAAGAATTTATTCAATCACTTTATTTAATGTAATTGCCTTTAATAAACTCAAAAATATCTTTATATAAGAAGGTGAATACCGCGTGGCGACATGCTCGTACAACCCTTTTTTGGGAAAGCGCAGGCCAGGGTCGAGTCGGGAATCGAACCCGCGATCTCCGCCGGGATGTGCAGGCGCGCTAGGCACTGAGCCACCGGAGGCCCAGTTTTCGTCAGTTAATAATATATTGTCGAAACTTGTTTGATTTAAAAGATCGTCCGCAGAGGGGTCGTCATCATCTAAAATATTTATTAGATCTATAAAAGTAAAAAGATACAATAAATTTATGAATAATAGACTTAAGGTAATATAAGATATTATAAAATTGTTTATTGATATTACCAGGATTATCATGTATTTCCATGTTGTTACCAGACTCAATTTGATTGACATACATCTCTATTTCATCCACCGTCAGAATCTCGTCATCTCGATTTTCGGGTTGTATAGATAGATCAAATTCTGTAAAAGTTAAACATAAAAAATTTAATTAATACGATTTGTATGGCAACGTGCAATTTAAATACATAAATATATAATAATCATTTATTATATATTTATGTATTTAATAATTATATATGTATTAATAA